CCCAACAACAAACCAACGACATCCTAACAACATCTCAAACACGTCCCAACAACATCCAAACAACTTCGCAACAACATCCCAACAATGTCCTGACAACGTCCCAACAACATGCAAACAACATTCAAACAACTTCCCAACGACATCCCAACAATGTTCCAACATTATCCCAATAACATCCAAATAATGTCCCGAAAACGTCCCAACAACGTTCAAACAACATCCCGACAACAACCCAACGACATCCTAACAACATCCAACAACATCTAAACAACGGCCCAATAACATCCAAACAACTTTCCAACAACGTCCCAACAACATGCAGACATGGATCTGTGCCTGGGATTTAGATACTCTGCCCTGAAATGCAGGAAGTCTCATAGTGACTGAGTCTGAAATCCTTCATGGAGCTTTAAAAAGACGTCCGAGTTTGATGGTGAGGATTAACTGATGATTTTAGATGTCGTGTTCAGTTTTGATTGTGTGAAGGAAACCTCCACCAGTGCTGAGGAACATCTACAGGTGGAGGAGCAACACCTGCTGACCCGAGCTGCGGGCAGCTCCCTGCCTGAAGAGGCTTCAGCGTCTTTACTGGATTTTCTCTCAGATTTGATTTTGTTCTTGTTTAAACTCTGCTCGAGGTTCAGACAGATGCAGGCTCCACTCTGATCTGATAACCTTTTGTTATTGACACTCTGATATTCATTAACATTAAAAACCTGCAGCATGAGGTCTGAAAGGTTTGAGCGGTCCTTACAGTCGCATCAAGCTGGCTTCATTCTGTAGGACTCAGTGCTGTAGTGACACCACAGCAGTAACACAGCACTGTAAAGTATAAAAGTCTGTGACTATGATGAAGTATTTCTTACATCAGAGGGTAAAATGATTATTACTGCAGGATTAATGTGGAGCTGCTTGGTTTCATCATCAGTCTGTGGCTGAGGGGTCGTTCACCTGCTCATCGTCTTCATAACCGACCGCTTTGTATAAATTCAGAGATCATAGCCCACCACACTAACTGCACTTTGATTCATCTTAAAACACTGTACACAGAGATATCACAGAGGTCAGAGGTCACCACACTGATGATACAGACAGAAGAAAGCAGAGACTCAACAACACAAGGCGTGAAAATAAGATGAGATAATAACTGAGGTCAACTTTAGTGCCAAACATGAAGAAAAGCTAAAGATGAAAGTGAATGAGGGACGAGGTGATCGTTCAGAGGATGCTTTCAAACTCTGACGCAGCTCCTCTGAACTGATTTAGTTTACAAAGTAAAAACATTAAAATTATCAAAGAGAAAAACATCAAAGCGCCACATCTGCACAGAGTTTAACATCTGGCCTGAAACATGTTTGCAAACCTCAAACTAATCGCTCTGATTAATCGACTGATCATTAAACTGTTGTTTGATTCTGTGACGCGTGCAGCAGGAGAGAGAGCAGAGAAGGAGAAGCAGCTCTTCAGCTGCTCTTTATCTCTGATGGACGTCTCAGTATTAAACACTAATAAACTGATCTGGGCTCAGTGTTTGTTTAACCAGCAGGAGCCTGGTGCAGCGCTGACCCCGCCCACCCCAGAGTCTGGGTGCGTTTGATTAAAACACAGGAAAAAGTCACATTTGAGTCTGAAGAACCACAGAGAGAAGAAGGAGAAGCAGTGAACTCACAGCTCTGATGTTCCTCTGATGGTTCTCCTCCTCTGATGGTTCTCCTCCTCTGATGGTTCTCCTCCTCTGATGGTTCTCCTCCTCTGCGACTCCTGGAAAACGAACCAGACTGAGGAGCTTGTGTTCCTCTGCAGCCGCTTCACCTGAATAATCCGCTCATTCAGCACCGGGACTCCTCCTCTTCCTCCGGGGCGGTCACTGCTCTGTGCTGCTGTGGGTGGGGGTCTCTGTGGGTTCAGGCTGTGGAGCTCAGGCTTCTGATTTGTGTCAGTGTGGCGCCATCTGCAGGTCAGTCTCAGTGCTGCACTCTGTAGCATGTGTGGGAGGAGTCCTGCTCCTCAGCCGCCACCCCCTCTGACATCATCCTGGAGTTCGTCATACAGACTGAACATGAGAACTCCTCTCAGGTTCTTTACAAACCTCCAAAGAACCGAAGCAACAGGTTAAACAGAGTGTTTGTATCAGCTGTCTGTGCTTCATCAGAGGAACTTCATCATCCTCAGATCACATAATGATATGATGAGAGCACAGTTTGATTGGTTATCCACAGATTTAGGAATCATCCATCCATCTTCTTCCGCTTACCCAGGGCCGGGTCGCGGGGGCAGCAGCCTCAGCAGAGAAACCCAGACTTTCTCCCCAGCCACCTCCTCCAGCTTGTTCATGAGACCACCAAGGTGTTCCCAGGCCAGCCGAGAGATACAATCTTTCCAGCGTGTCCTGGGTCTGCCCCGGGGCCTCCTCCCCTGATTTAGGAATCATTTTAACTTTGTATGAAACAATACACAGAAAGGAGCATGAAAGGAGCACTTCTTAATTAGAGTTCAGCATCAAGTCTCAGTCCCCAAATCACGGTTGAAACTGAGGAGACCGAGCGTTCTCTATCGTGGCTCCTGAGCTTTGCAATAATCTTCCTCTTCACATTAGGCGATCGACATCAGGGCTGGTTTTTAAATCCAGATTGAAAACACATTTTTATTCACTGGCTTTGACTCAGTGGTTGACTGACTTGTATTTTATTGTTTTTGCTATGTTTATTATTTTATCGTATTTATTATTCTTATGGTATCTATTATGTTTCTATTGTTCAGCACTTTGGTCGGCCTTGTGTGTTTTTAAAATGCTATATAAATAAACCATGATGATGATGATGATGATGAAGTCAGTTACACTGTTGGGACACTTTTTGTGGATACGTTTATTTCCCATCATTCAGCAGAGGCAGCAGGGCTGTAGTAATATTAATAAGGTGGAACCTCTCCCTCGCCGTGGCTGACTGTATAAAAGAGAATAATGGGCGTTATGTTATTGTCAAAGGAAGTTTGACATCAGAGTTTGTGATAATGAATGTTTACCCACCAGAGCATCCCTCTGATTTTCTGATTCACATGTAAAATCAACTTCTTGTTCCTTTTTCTTTCATCTAAAGAGTGCAGCGGTGTTTTTAACCCAGTGCAGTTTATTATCGTTGTGTACTCCGAGGTATTTATAGTCCACATCGACCCCCTCGATTGAAACAGGGGTCACAGGTTTCCTGGTCCTCCTAAAGTACGTTGAGCTGCAAATAATTCTCTCGCACCACGTGACAAAGGAGTTAACCACAGCCCGCTACTCTGACTCATCACCCTCATCGATCCACCCAACCACCACAGAGTCATCAGAAAACTTCTGAAGATGGCAGGTCTGTAATCCTGGGGCCAATGGGATGTGGCGTCTTTGGTACAGGAACGAGGCATGATGTCTTCCACAGCAATGGGACCCTCTGTAGACTCAGACTCAACATGAGCAGTTTATGAAAGACTCCACAAAGCTGGAGGAGCAGGCCTCGAGGACACGGGACTCCCACTGTCTGGTCCAGCAGACTTGCCTGAGTGGAGTCTCCTCATCTGTCTCTGAACCTGGTCATGAGTGAAAGTGACAGGCGGGGGAGCGTGTCAGGACTTTTACAGGAGGCTATGGTGCAGTGTGGAGACAGTGGGTGGCTGTGGACTGCAGGCTGACCACAGGTAATGCTGTGGGGGGAGCAACATACAAATGTGGACACAGAACAGTAGCACAGTATCACATATACTTCATAACTGCTCAGGGTCCTGGGTCGCTCACTCTTTACGTAGCCCAGCTGCTCGAGTTTTTTTTGCTGGTTTACCGGCGACTGACGACTTGTTTAAACCACGTCACTGTTATAAAAAAGACACACAGCTTATCATCTTATAGTTCTAAAATCGCTCTGTTGTTAATTCGTTTGCTAGATTAGCTAGTTAGCGATGCTACACACCTGTTACTCTGATAGTCTGTGTTATTGAAGGATTCAGGACTCCTTATGTTTTTTTTATCCATTTTTAGACAGCGATGAGATCAGCTGCACACTCTACAGAGGCCCAGAGTTACTGTTAATATCAAAAATATAATGCTGTCCTTTGAGATTTTAACATAAGACTGTGAGTGTAACGGATCTAAAACTGTTTAAATCTGCAGAGCCCTCTACAGCCTGGTAACATGGAAACTTTAAAAACAGCAGCAGAACGTTTCAGTAGTGTAGTCTAATTTGTTCTTTTCATTTAATCATAGAGTCCATATTGATCCCTCAAAATTGTCCTCACACACTCAGGATCTGAAGTTCTTCTCTTGCATTTTTTCAGTGGATTAAAGTACACTACAGTACTTTAATCCATAGTTCCTGATTAACGAGGAGTTACTGAAGTACATGCTTTTAAAAAAGATGTTGCTCTCTTTACAGATGTGGCAAGAGACTGAAAACATGTTGTTGTTTGCACATATTTAATAGTGATGTGACGTTCTGTATCGAGGCTTCGAAGCTTGTGTCGAGTAATTGAGGGGGCGTTTCTGCGATGCGCGTATCGCGGGTTCCTTCATTTATGGGAGGAGCTGAAAATGATGACGTCCGAAGCCTCGCTGCCCGGCTGTACCACGTGACTGGTTCATGAAGTGGTTCGAACTTTGCCGCGAGATATGACAGCGATATAAACCCCTCAGACTTCATTCAAAAATGTGGGTGTTTGATGGAGAGTTGCGGTTAGTGAGAGTTTGGAGACAGTTTGGAGGTTTATGAGAGTGAGGAGAGAAAGTCAGGAGAGAATGGAGCCAGCTAAGAAGAGGAGGATGTCCTCCCCTGTGTGGGAACATTTTGATTTTATTCCTCCCAACAAGGTATGTAAATTTCTACAGAAGATGTATTTTCATAATACTGATGGTGCAATACAATTTATGTTAAGCTGTTACTTTTGTACAAGGTGAAGTGTTTGCTATGTGCCAGGGAGCTGGGATATAACAACAACACCTCATCCATGCTTAGGCACTACAGAGCTTTGCATGAGAATAAGGGGAACACCGATTGTGGAGCAAGACCAGGTGAGCCATCAAATGCCATGATAATATAGCATGCAGTAATGTTACTAAATGATATAACAATATTATACAACTGTTATAAGTTACGTGTGTGATATTTATATTTGTGCTTTGTCTTTATTGTCTTTCCTCAGGAGAACAATCTCAAATAGATGAAGACCTGGTCAGCATGGTGATTGAGGACTCCCAGCCATTTAGCATTGTGGAGGACAAAGGATTCAAAAGATTTGTTAAATCATTAAATCCTAGCTATGTTCTCCCCACTAAAAGGTATAAAAGCAGTGAAAATTTAGTTTTTACGAATAAAATGATGGGCAGGACTGAGCCTCAGTGTGTAGCTGTCCATACCTCAACGTTACAAAAGCACAACTACTGTCCACACCCCAACCACACCTCACCTCACAGTAAATGATCATTTCCATTTCTAAGCATTTCCAAATAATCATTTCCATACTGCCACTATAAATATACACAGTATACTGCATCACTACAATACACATGTTTTACACACTCCTTTTGTTGTTGACATTTACAGGCTGTGTGCAAAAGGCCACACTCTTCAAATTCATGCCAACTAATATTTTTACGTCCAGTAGGTGTCCTACTAGAGCAAATGAAGCTTCAAGAAGCTTTGTGCTGGGATGAACCAATTGGATGAAAAGCTTCAGTGCTTCATGAAGCTTCATCTGCCCATCACTACTATTTAATATTCAGCTCTGCACAGGAGCTGAAGCTGTTATGTGACGGCTGTGTGCAGACAGGAATAGGACCCAAGGTGCAGACTCCAGAGACAAACGTAAACTGAAACAGCTTTAATGCTGAACTCAAACATAACATAACGGGAAAAAAATCAAAATAAGCTACCACCAGCAGACTGACAGCACACACAGCTGGTAAACGGTAGATCACGACACAGACACAGAGAAACACAGGGCTTAAATACACAGAGGGAGCAATCAGGGAAACGGGTAACAGGAGGGAAACACAGCTGGGGCAAATCAGGCCTAACGAGACAAGGGGAAGCAAAACCAGACACATTAACATCAGACATGGACTTTCAAAATAAAACAGGAAACATGACACAGACTGAACTAAAGACACAGACTCACACGCACTGCAACAGAGGGAACGGAGACGTGGGACCAGGGCAGACACTGACTGGACACGGGGATATAGGAACTAAGGATACACAGAACTAGACAAGGGGATACAGCTGACAGGGGAGACAGAGCGGTGGGTGTGGATAATTTACGGCAGAAGGGAGCGGCCGAAGAGTGAACTGTCAAAAGTAAGTACTGAATATTATGTCACTTATTCATGTGCGAATGTTTAATAACGAAGAACATTAAAACATTGCTGTTGGCCACATGTGGCAAAGTCATGTGACATTAGTGACGTTTGTACTAACTTGGTTTTAAAGCCTTTACTTTATACGCCGTTCGATAGTCGACCTTAATCTTACAGAGAATCTGATGATTCTGTGGATAATTAAAGTCAGTCATATATCCACAAACACAACAAGCTGAAAGTCAGTGATGCTGCTCGGTTTGCAGTCCTGAACATCACGGCACAAGCAGGATTCACTGCACTGTTAATGTGAGCTGTGTTATATTGCTGCCTCTGTTCGGTGGTGTCAAGCCAAACGGACTTTAACGTGTGTTTGAACGAGCTGACGGTTCACTCGTTAAGCTGAAAGAAAGATGCTTTAATCACAGCAGTCACACATGTGTCCACTGCACCATCTGGGAACTCTTCTTGTTTAGCACTCGTAATAACACAAACACTAAATCCTCCTGTTTGTAGCAGTGTCTGAGACTGTCACCTGTCTGTCTGTCCTGCACTCTCTCTCTGTTTCTTTCTCTCTGATTGTGGAATAAAAGTATGAACATGTGTTTATAAGTTACACTTGTGTTTGAATCCTGCAGCTTATCACACATTTGATGTCCATGTGTGACGACTGCAAGTGTCCAGAGTGAGGACAGATTGAGGGACCCACTGCTGCACATCATCTGTGAGGCTTTGCACCCCTGATGATCCACCAGGACAAACTCAGCAGTGTGTGAGGAAGAGGAGGAGGAAGAGGAGGACAGGGACAGGTGCTGCTAGGGCGAGACAGACGTCTCTCACGGAGTCCTTTAGTGCTGCAGGCAGGCAAGGTGTTCAAATAGCGCACAACTTCTGGTTTTTATTTCAATATGATAATTGCACAGTTTGCATGAGCATTTAATCTAAGCACTGTGAACAAAACATAGAATAGATCATTAACAGCACGCTGATACAGAGCTTCTGCCCACAGTGCTTAACACACTTCAAGAAGGTTCCTGGTTTGAATCCCAGCTGGTTCTGTCTGTGTGGAGTTTGAATTAGATAAAGTATGAACGTACAGGAGGTCAGATGTGTAAGAACACGTCACCAGTTCTCTAGTACTTGAAATGGTACCACTAGTATCTCCATACAGACGTCTTGAAGCTGAATCACCAACAAAGACTTTTGTAGGAAATATTAAATAAATTTCAGTTCAACAAATTTTCCCTGTGTCATTTTTCATTATCACACCTGTTTCACTTAAACATTATATCAGTAATATGAGATTCTCCAGAAAACCAGACTTTTCTTCCTCTTCAGGTCTGATCAGTCAGCAGGCTGTGACTGCAAGGCCATTTCTTCTTCACTCATCCACAGATGTTTCTCCAAGCCAGCTGGGTGGGTCAGTGGCTCAGAGGCTGCAGGATGGAGGAACAAAAGAATCATTAGAATTTGAAACAACCAGAGACGAGACAGAAGGAGGCTGTCACCATGTCTTCAGTCAGAGTCCAGAATTTATCAGGACAGAAACAGATCATCTGCAGAGGCTTATTGAAGAGTTTCAGTCAGGTTTCAGAGCTCATCACAGCACAGAAACAGCTTTAGTGAAGGTTACAAATGATCTTCTTATGGCCTCTGACAGTGGACTCATCTCTGTGCTTGTCCTGCTAGACCTCAGTGCAGCGTTCGATACTGTCGACCATAATATCCTATTAGAGCGATTAGAACATGCTGTAGGTATTACAGGTACTGCACTGCAGTGGTTGCTCTGTTCTGGGATGGACTGGGACGGTTGAGGCAGTGCCATGTGAGGATGCTGGTTTGTGAGCTCTGCACTCGAACCCTTGTATTTACCATATTACTCTTCAAAAATGACGTGATATTACTTCACATACGAGAGCAACAACATATTAGAAAACAACCATCCCGGTCTATGGACAACATGCCCGAAAAAATTCAAGCCAACAAGATGGAGCAGGACACGAGGGCCTCTCAAGCAACTGCTGGCCCAGCTAGCCTAGCATGCCCAAATGCCACGGAGACAACTGTGGACGAGCAGCAGGCAATCCTGAAGGAGCTGCAATTAATGAAGCAAGAATTGCTGGAGAAAATAGATGAAAAGGCTGCAGAGACCCAAACGGAGCTGCGTAACATCACTGACAGGCTCAATAAAAGACGGGATAAGGTTGAAAGCCACACATCTGAGTTGGAAAAGGGAGTCACTGCTAACTCCGACTCTATTGCAGCTATGCAATCCAACATGAAGAAAGGGTTACCAGCGTGATCCAGTGTGATAAAAGAGCTTGCCCTGCTAAAGGCCCTGTGCGAGGATTTGGAGGCTAGGTCATGGCGCTGCAACGTCCGCGTTATGGGGGTAAAGGAGGGACGAGAGCAGGGAACACACCCATCTGAATATGTGTCAGAAATGCTGAAAAAGGCTCTTGCTCCGGAAAAAAAGCCAACTCTGGATAGGGTGCACCGGACCCTCCGCACCAAGCCAACTCAAGATGACCAGCCATCGAGGGCATTTGTAGTGAAATGTCATTACCTCGGAGCAAAGGAACTACTTCTCAGGAAGGCAGCCGAGGCTGGGGTGATAACAACTGCAGACGGTGAGTCTGCCGTACTGCCGTACTTCAACCAAGCTGTGAGTAAACAGCGTGCCGCCTTTACCGAGGTGAGGAATCTACTTCACAGTTGCAACGGAGTCCGCTATGGGCTGAGGTATCCAGCGACGCTGAGGATTACTACCGTGGACGGGCAAGAAATGAAGAAGTTCTGAAGAAGTTAACGAGCGCTTGATATATGTCCGGGCCAGGACTCGCTCACACCTGTGACTGTTCTGATTTTGCAAATAAAACTGAACTGAATGGACTCTGTTGGATGCTTTGGAGACATCTCACTGTGTCTCCACTATATTTCTACGTGCAACCAGAAGTAGACAAAACTGCATTTGCTTTATTGAAGAAGACATCAAAAAGGCCATTAAAGTTGTGAATCTGGTGTTTTTAACTTTATAAAGTTACTAAAACATGCAGGTGGAAAGGTGAGCTGATGTCTACCTTCATACTGATCTCCAACTTTGAGCAGCACGGTCTTCTCTCTCCAGATGTTCCTGCTGTCGACTCTGCAGCGGTATCTTCCCGTGTCGCTGACTGTTGGATGTTTAAGGGTCAGGCTGAGGTTTCCTGTCTCCAGCAGCTTTTTGCTCGTCTCTGTTCGGCCTCTGTACTCCTCGTCCTGTTTGTCAGGCTGATCTGATTTGTTCTGATACACGTGGACCATCACCATTGGTTCAGGGTCATCTCGCCACCACTTCACTCTGATGTCATCGGGGAGGTCACCTGTGGATTTGAAGGGCAGCTGGATTGACTCCTCCCCATCTTTCACCTCCATCTGACAGACTGAGGACAATGCAGCATGAAATCAGGCAAGAAGAGCAAAGACAGTTTAACAGCAAACAGACCAGTTTAAAAACAACACAGTAAAACTGTCACTGTCAGGGTGCTGGGCCATTGAGTTTATTTAGTATTTTTATGTTTCTGAGATCATTTGTAATCGCTGATTAATGTTCTCTTTCTGTTAGGTTCCATTCATGCCGTTGTCTTCATCTGTGTGTCTCACTCTCCAGGTCTTAGTCATGTCCTTGTGTCTTGTCTCCCTTTTCTGTTCCCATGTTCGCCTCCTTGTGTTTCATCCTTTCTCCTCTGTCTGTCATCTGCATCCATGTGTTTCTCCCCAGCCTGTTGTGTGTCTTTGGTCGTGTCCAAATTCATGGGCTGCATCCTCCTGAGGACCCGGCCTTCACGGTCTACGTTTGCCGGGTCCTCAGAAGGTCGGGTAGGCTGGAAGTAAACGGCTGTGAAACTGGACGGTCTAGCCTTCAGATTAGCGTCATCGCTGTCTCGGTGGAGTTTAATAAACTCGGCAGTTTGATCCTTGCTGTCTAAAATATATCAGGACACTGGTGTACATTCTCGACCGTCTCACACTTCTGTTTAATCAGTTTTCTGTTTAACGTTTATTCAGCTGTGTGAAAACCAAGGAGGAACCCACCCGGGGGATTAATAAAGTTTTATTTTATCTAATCTAATAACTTTAATCTCAGCCAAACCGATTTACTCACGAACAAACAAAACACTGAAAAAAGCCCAACAATAACATTTTTAGGTTGTCTAAGTGACTTATATATTACGTTTAACCCGAGCAGCGAAACTCTGCGGTGATCTGAAAATGATGTGCCGGGAGTTGTGCCATTCTCGGCCACATCAGTGACCCTCGAGCTCCCGGCTAGCTATCGAGCTGGTGGGTAGCAGACGTCTCCGAAAATGTCGAAGCACTTTTGCAAATATGCGATATCTTGATAAACTGAGCAGATATTTGATGTTTACACACGCACATTTAAAAATATGTTAAAAGTTTATTTTGTGACCCAGAAAGATTAGTAAGAGTAATTTTAAAACTTAGTAGCGGCCGCCATTGTTGGAAACTGGAGTTTGGCTGGGCCGCGCTATGAATTCTGGGATATGGTAGGCCACGAAGGACACACCCGACCCATCCTTCAAATTCGGGGAAAAGGAGGACGCATTTGTCGGCTGCATTTAAAGGAGTCGATGAATTCGGACAGCCTTCGGCGCGTCGCTGTGATGTAATCGGTCTACAAATGCGGCCTCAGGAGGACTCAGCTCATGAATTTGGACACGACCTTAGTCTGCATCTTAGTGTGTTTCCTGTTTTATTTTGACAGTCTCTCGTCCCACGTTCAGTGTGTTTGGTTTCGCTTCCCTGTCTCGTCATGTCTGTCCGTCCCATGTGTTTCCACTTCCCTCATCAGCCTTCTGTGTATATACTGTCTCTGCTTTTCCTTTGTCCCTCGTTAGTTTGTTCTTCTCCAATCATGTTCCTCGGCTGTTGTTTCCAATCATGTTCCACCAATAAACAGCTCGCTTTTCATTAGAAGTTAGTTTTCCCTCCCTGCACTTGCTTTTAGGTCCTCACTACTCACCGCTCCACACGATCTGCACATGTAGATGGTGGTAGTCACAGATATCCAGGGTACTCCTCACTAATTAATCCACAATGTGTGATTTCATTATCACAGCATAAAGAGTTCTTCCTGATGTATTTAAACAGCATCAGACAGCAGCAGCATCCATGACAGACAGTCTGGAGCAGCAGCAGTCGTGAAGTGACTCGTGTTTATCACACGTATGAGGTTAACAGTGTTTGGACCTGATCCCAAAGGAACAGCTGATTATTTAATAGTGAGTAAATTTGAGGTGTGTGGATGTTTACTGCAGGCCTGATAATGATACTCATGCACATAACACACATCATTTCCTGTGCTGCTAACACTATCAGGATGTCTCACTCATCCTCTGAAGCTGGTGTTTACACTGACAGGCACGTGTCTTTGGTATCGTGTACAGTCCTGACCTTTGACATGGAGCTGTACTTGTTTCTTCATCAGGATGTTTCCCTCCCTGCTGCGGGCGGTGCAGGTGTAGGTGTCTGTGTCTGAATCTGTGGGTTATTTCAGGGACAGACTGAGGTCTCCAGCCTTCAGCGGGCGTTTCTTCATCTCTGTCCGCTGTCTGTAAAACCAGTGCTGCTCGTCATGCTGGTCGGAGGAGTTCTCAAACAGGTGGATTGTCTTGTCTTTACTGTTGCTCCACTCCACTTTAGCATCTTCAGGCAGGTGAGTTATAGTTTTGCATGGCAGTTGGACAGCATTCACCTCTGCATCCACCTCCACCTCGTACACTGACAGAAAAGCAAACCACAGAATCAGCTTTGCAGGCAGCAGATGGCATCATGAGCCCCCATCAATCAGCTCTATAGTCTTCAAAGGCTTTACCCCTGAACTCATGCACAGGATGTCAAAGCTGCTGGTTCCTCATAGCCACACAGCAGTGCCATGATAAACCAGGTAACAGCAGTCACATATAGAAGCTTTCAAAATACCCCAAGTATTACATTTAAAAGCACCGGGTGGACATCATTGTACTGGGAGTTAAGGGGCCAATTTTAAAACTAACCTACACCAAGGTGGTTTTTAGCGCCAATGCTAAGCAGCAAGTGAAAACTAATAGAAATGATGTTTGTTTGTTAACATTTTTACTGCCACCACACCTTTAATGATTAAAACAAAAAGCCCTGCGACAGGCTGGAGATCTGTCCAGGTGAACCCCGCCTCTCACCCTGCAGTATAGGCAGAACAGGTTGAACGGGCCCCTTTGCAGTTTTCACCTCAACCAGACCCTTTGGTTGGCATCAACAAGCTTCAGGCATGATTCTGGCTGACCCTCTTTTTTATGCTACCTGGATGTTAAAGCATTGTTTTGGTTTTTGGACTTTGGACCCTGTTTATTATTGTAGTAACCTACGTCTCTTAGTCTTTATCTGATGTTGTTTCGTTTTCCTGTGGCTGGTCTCTGTCTGTTTCCTGTTTTATTGTGATAGTGTCGTGTCCCATGTACGTTATGTTTAGTTTTGCTTCCCTGTTTCATTATGGTAAATGGTAAATCGCACTTTTTGGTGACGGCTACATTGTAGCCACGGCCGCCCTGGGGCGCACTGAGTCACATTCATTCCAGTTGTGTGTTCGCCTGTTACCCAGCCTCTCCTGATCCTGCATGTATTTCTGTCTTCTGCAGCTTTCAGCTCTGTCTCAGTTGTTCAGGATTCTGAACTCTTCACGTTTCTGTTTTTTGTTGAGCGTCAGCACACGATCAGTGTCGTGGTCTGGCAGGTTCTGCTGGGCTGTTTTTCTTGTTTCTTTTCTTTCCCTTTTTCTAACTCGCTCTCTTTACAATCATTATCAGGTGGAGCTGCTGAGCTGGCATGAAGCTTTGGGTGGAGGTTTCCTGACAGTTCCTTCTTTCCCTCCTGCACCTGTTCCTGATCACAGTTAAGTGAGCAGGTATCATTGAGTGGTGCTGCAGCTCTCTCCTAGTTCATCTTTGCTGAACTGGTGACAGTCAAGTCCCTCATCTTTCTGTTTGACCGTAGTCACTGGCTCTTACTTTACATTTGTTTTCCTGCAGTATCCTGTTTGAACCTTCTGTGGAAGTTTGCTCAAGTCTCGACCCTTTTGTGGACTTTGAACTCTGCTGAAATCTGCAAACGAACTCATTCACCTACCAGCCATCAGCCAGCTCCAACCTGGCATCCCTGAACAACTGCTTGTTGGACTAGTAACCCTCCCAAGTTCTCATTCGACTTTCCAACATAACTCCTACATTCTGCATCATGCTCCAGTCATCTTGAGACCTTTATTAACATTCGATCTCTTCTCTGGCAGAGCCACCTTTTGCCCAGCAGCTGCTTTCTCGCTCCTCTCCACAGTTGCCTTGTCCCAGTGGTTCCCAAACCTTCTGGTTAGCCCCCCTTTGTTTTACAAGAAAAATCTTACATGAGATGAATTTCTACAGTGACAGAGACAAAATACTGTTAATCTGACTGTCTGCAGGTTTTACACGCTTACATATACACACACAGTTACTGTCCCTCCATTTACAAAGGCAGAGGTGTCACGCTGTGATTATTTTACTGTAGTTGTTTTTTTCCTGTGTAATAATATTCAACATTGCATCAATACATGTTTCAAAAATGCCTCTCTGTGCAAAATGTGTTCAAAAACATAAACAGCTGTGGGATCCTGTTTGTCTGTATAACAGCATGGTATTATCGTTACATAAATAATGTCCTAGTAAAAACGACAGCTGGGTAATATTACATTCATATAACCAAGTAATAATAGACCAGAAACTGTAGTAATAATGTAGGATCAAGTGTGTCCATATGAGGAAAAACCAATGATCAACAGTATAGAAATGTATTAATAACAATATAAAACCTAGTGGCAATAAAATGTTGACATCTGTGCATTAGAAGTGCTACACACTAACTTTTAGTGTGTGAGTGACGCCTGTTATGACATTAAACCTTATGTTCCTCCATCCTTCTTTATGTCCTACAGTTTAAACCTGGGGGCAGAAGAACACCTTTGTATTTGCTAATGTTCATAAATCAAACACACCTGTATTTGATTTATGAACCTTTGCTAAGGGTCTGCTCTGTGACATCGCTCTTTCTCACTTTGTTTCCTTTTTTACATTATTTGTATATTTTTTTATTTATTGATGTTTATTTTGTCAACAACATGTCCATAAAATATTTCTGATGTCTACAGAAACAAAACAGATGTTAAACCAGGACAAACAAGCAGAGCAGGGACGAGCAGAGGGAACTGGATCAGGAGCAGAAGTTCAGGAAACACCTGCAGGTCTCACCTTCATCCTCGGTCTGTAATAACCTGAGCAGCCGGCAGGGGGCAGCAGTAGCTCAGAAGCTGCCGGTGTTGGTGGACGCTCATCTGCAGACTGAAGTTACAGCAGCGGACCAGCAGTGGGCGCACTAACATCAGATCAGATGGTGGGGGAAACAGGAAGTGCAGAACTGGTTTATTTTGAAGGGTACGAACGGTTCTCTTGAGGCTGGGTTCAGTTTTTCCTCAGGGTGTGAAACCTCCCTGAGAACCAGACAGGTCTTATTTTCAGAACACATCAATGCCTCATCAACGGGTTCAAAGAAGTGGATTAAGAGTCAGTCAGACATTTGTTGAACAATTTCAGTAACTTCCTGTTGTGTTTTTGTAACAGTTTCACTTTATTAGAGACACACATGGGTAGCAAATAAAAAAAATAAATACATGACAAAGAAAAGACAATTTAAAACATATTCCACAGTGTCACACATTTACATAGAGGCTAGAACACCAGCGGCTCCATAACTGTGCAGGGTCAGTCAGAGATGCAGTTATACTGTTTCTGGAGTGCTTTACCCTACACACATACAACGGTGCATGTTAGCTCCTTTCATTTTATTTATTTATTTTAAATAAAAAAAAATTCTGCTGATTTTCAGTCAAATTTTAAAGGTTCTCTGATTTAGTGGAGGTTAGACTGAAAATAGAGTTTGTATTTATTTCATATAAGTATAAGCATGAAGCAGAGTTTGAATCTGATGATTATATCTGTTAAATTTAGTTAGTGTTAATGTCAGACCACCTGGTTTGCACTGGGAGGTGTCGTCGCTTTTATTTTGAAGGCTGTGACCGGATGTTTCGGGTGTGTGTTTTAGTTTGACAGTCTGGTTGAGGCCGCAGGAAAACTGAGCGCAGCTTCGTCTCTGCGGATTTTCGCCTTCTGCGGCACAAACCTGCGGCTGCACCCGGACAGACACCCGAGAGCACAGTCCGAACCGGACCGAGCCGAACAGAGCCGAGCCGGGACCGAACACAGACAGACGGCCTCGTCTCCTCCCGCAGAGCCGAGCCAGCCTCCGTCACCGGTAAGAACCGTTTTATCTGACCGACCGCTGTTTATGTGTGTGTGTGTGTGTGTGTGTGTGTGTGTGTGTAGCTGTTTATGTGTGTGTGTGTGTGTGTGTGTGCGTGTGCGTAAGAGAGAGAGAGAGCGTGTGTGTGCGCGCGCCACTCCCCTCCAGTCTCAGCTGTAAAAGCGCCGTTAAACGTACCTGCGGACAAACATACAGGTGATGTACAGCGGCGGCCACGTGACCTCTGTATGACGTGATGGTATATATGCCGTGTGTGACCTTCATGACGCGTGTATAACGCACCTGTCATGACCTGCCACACACGCACACACACAGCTCAGTGTGTGTGTGCGTGTGTGTGGTTGACTGTGAGCTGATGCAGATGTTACAGATGTGTGTGTGTGTGTGTGTGTGTGTGCGCACTGTGGAACATCTCCTGCAGGTTTTTGTATGAATGATAAAGCTGCTGCACACACTCATGTGCCACTTCATTAGGTATACCTGGCTCGCTGTAGGGCGGAGCCTTTCTCCTTCAGAGCTGCTCTAATTCTGTGGCTCAGATTCAGGAAGCTGTTGGAAATGTTGTGACATCATCACACAGCTGTTGCTCCCAGATGACATCTCCCACTCCACCACCTGAGATCTGTGACTGTGGAGTGAACCAGTTTAACCCCACAGTGTCACAGCAGCAGCCTGGTGGAGCCGTGCTGCCATGTTTACTCCAAACTGTCAGTCTGAAACAGTTTGACCTCTGACCTCAGCAGGACATGTCTGCTGCTCTGTGATTGGCTGATTAGATATTTGTGTTAATGAGCAGGTGTACCTAATGAAGAGGCAGATGAGTGTACATGTGAAATTATGAATAAAGTTTTTTACAGAACAATAAAAAGATATTAACGGACTGTTTAAGTGAACACAGACACCAGAGGCTGTGATGATGTCCTGGAGGTGTGTGTGTCTGTGTGTGTGTGTGTGTGTGTATTGTGTGTTTGTGTGTGTGTCTGTGTGTGTGTGTGTGTGCTGTGTGTGTGTCTGTGTGTGTGTGTGTGTATGTGTGTGTGTCTGTGTGTGTGTGTGTGTGTGTGTGTGTGTCTGTGTGTGTGTGTCTGTGTGTGTGCGTGCGTGTGTGTGTGTGTTGTGCTGTCTGTGTCTGTGTGTGTGTCTGTGTGTGTGTGTCTGTGTGTGTCTGTGTGTGTGTGTGTGTGTCTGTGTGTGTGTGTCTGTGTGTGTGTGTGTGTCTGTCTGTGTGTGTGTGTGTGTGGTCTGTGTGTGTGTCTGTGTGTGTGCGTGTATGTATGTGTGTGTGTCTGTGTGTGTGCGTGTATGTATGTGTGTGTGTCTGTGTGTGTGTGTGTCTGTGTGTGATATCACGACAGAAACAGTGCACAGAGACGTTACACACGTGTTATTTAGTTGATGGAAATCATCGTCACTGTGTAACAGCAGCAGTGATGTGGAGATATAACAGTACTTGTAAGTATTTAGTTGCAGTACTGCCATAAATACACTGAGGTACAATGTAGGACTAACAACAGAAACTACCGATGCAGGAACAGGAAACCAGTAACCGTGTTCAGCGTGTATGAGCGGTGCCACAGCTGCAGCTCCACCCTGGGTGGATAGCACTGACGGAGCTGTTTAAATGATGTTTCTGTGTGCTCCTCTGGCAGCTCCTCCTTAATCTTCAACTGTAAAAGGACGAGCTGCACACTGGCTCGGGGGGGGGGGGGTCAGCATGTCTCTGTGCAACTCTCACAACCAATCAGCTGTCAGAGCTGCAGGATGGTGCTGCTGTCGGAGCGAGCTGGAGGAGAGAGGTGGAGTGTGTGATGGATGAGTGTGCGTCTCGTCTGCCGAGAACAAACCGAGCTCCTGTCTGTGTTTCAGCGGGGGAGGGGTGCAGCGAGCCCAGGATCAGTGATGCCCGTCGCCCTGTGAGGTGGATCCAACATGGCGTCCCCGGCGCTGAAGGTGTGCCTGTGTGTGCTGCTGCTGCCTGCTGTCACCGGTCAGTATCAAACACATCATTGTTTAGGCTGGGGGGGAGGGGGGGCAGCTGTGGGTCTCCTGTTTCTGAACTTCTCTGTCAGCATTACATCATTCTGACGTTTCAGCCAATCAGGACAGCAGAGGAAGTGAGATTTTAAACGCTGTGACATCATCACCTCACTTCCTGTAGCTGCCTGATGACGGTGGACGACCTCAGCTGTGCTTGATGATGTCAGCAGGGAGAGGTCAGCAGATATGGCGTTATTTTTGTGCCGCTATTCTGAGCGCACGTAAAAAAATTGCAGGTGCAAGTGTTGCATTTTAGGAGAAATTAATTTTGAGCGAAGAAAAGCTGAATTTGAGTGAACAAAAATCATTCCTGCGCGCAAAAACTGTGTTTCAGTGTTTGCTGTTATCCACACACACAGACACACACACACAACAGCCCCTCTCGCTCAGTTTGTGTATTTGCGCTCGCTCGCAATGTGTCGCTCGCGCTCTCAACATTTCTGCCCGTGCGCGCTCAACTCTTTCTGTACACCGTTATATCTGTGTCACAAAACCAGCCAATCACAGACTTGGATGCAGAAAAAATCTGATTGTCAGTTTTGGTCTCCAACCAGCTCGAAATGACAAAATGCAATATCCCAGAATGCATTTGGTCCAAAACTCAAACGAGGCAGTGGCGGAGTTTGAAATGTTACTCTTTCTGGGTCACAAAATAAACTTTAAAGATATTTTCATGCGAGAATGTTTCTGTGTAAACTTCAAATATCTGCTCGATTCATCAAGACATCACATATTTGCATAAGTGCTCTGACGTTCTCAGAGATGCCTGTTACCCACCAGCTGACCGGGTCACTCGGGTTAAACAAAAGGCTGAACTGACAAAAAATCACAACTACACCACCAGGTGTTACAAGAAAAACCATAAAGCCTTTGAACTAAAGCAAACACTGTTGTGACAGTGACGTACACTGTCTTGTTGGTAACTACCGTATTTCCCGGACTACAAAGCGCACCTGAATATTAGCCGCACAAGCTAAACTCAGGGGAAAATCCTGTTTTGTTACCTGTTTTGGAGACACACCCCTTTTATTAATATTTTGAA